TACATCTATATATGTATATTGTAATATATATATATATATATATATATGTATCATTGTATTGTTGACGTGTTATTCTAAACACGTTATTTGCGATAAATATCATCACATGCGTCGGTAGTCGAAAGGATAAGATGCCTGCCCGGTAAGCAGGAGATCCAGGTTCGATTCCTGGCTGAGGTGGTATTTTTTCGCAAAATAATTACGAGTTTTCACGACTGGTTCGTGGTCGGGCCCCGCCGTGACGCACACCCTCCCTTCTTATTTGGGAGTACTTCTGGACGATGTCGCGGATGTACATGCTCCCCCCAGGGACGTTATGGTTCCTTTTTGGAAAGAGGTCATGAGAGGACGCTCTGACATCTCCTCCGGTCCCGGACAACCGAAACCGTTGTCAGGGAGCTTTGAGCGCCCATATCCGCATTAGAGATTAGAAAGGCACGTCCACCGAGCACTACCTCCGCGGGTCCTGATAGGCTGTAGCGCGCTTCTTAAGGCGTGTGCCAATGGAGGTACTTGTTCGAGTATTTAATATAATCCTGTGGTGCGGTAGATCTCCCACGTATCTATTGGAGTCACTAACAACCTTGATCCCAAAGAAGGCCAAAGCTTCGGATCCGTCGGACTTTAGGCCAATCACAGTCTCATCTGTGCTCGTAAGAACATTACATAAGATTTTGGCCTCTCGTATGTTGCATGGGGTGCATCTTGACCCAAGACAGTGGGCATTTAGACCTACCGACGGCTGTTCCGATAATGTTTTCCTTCTTGACTTAATTTTGAGATACCACCACAGGCACAACAAGCCTCTCTTTATAGCGTCTGTCGATATCACGAAGGCATTCGATTCTGTATCGCACGGTACAATACGTGACACGTTGGGTAATATGGGGCTACCTATGCCCATGATAGAATATATTATGGATGTATATAAGCGCAGCACCACGGCTCTTTGTTGCGACTCATGGAGGTCTGAATTGATTAGTCCCGCGTGCGGAGTAAAGCAGGGGGACCCAATGTCTCCTATTATTATTAATATGATTATGGATCGGCTCCTGACTAAGCTTCCAGATGATATTGGAGCCTGTATTGGAGATATGCGCATAAATGCGGCTGCTTTTGCTGATAACCTGCTTCTCTTTGCTTCTACTCCTATGGGATTGCAAAAGATCCTGAACATTTCAATCGACTATCTGAAGAGCTGTGGCCTTCAAATCAACGCTGCGAAGAGTATGACAGTCTCGTTGCGCAACCTCATGAAAAGAAGACAATTATAGATAAAGATACTGTTTTTGAGTGCGACGGCGGGATGTTGCCTTCGCTGAAGCGATCTGACCAATGGAAATATTTAGGCGTTCCATTTACACCTGAAGGCCGTCTTAGGATGGATATCGTTCCCGGATTAAAATTGTCTCTCGATAAATTGACTGCGGCGCCACTCAAACCCCAACAACGCTTGTTTGCACTGAGAACCATGGTGATACCAGCCCTGTATCATCAACTCGAATTGGGTAATATAAATGTTAGTGTCCTTAGGAAGAGTGATAGGATTGTACGTGCTGCGAAGGTGGTTAGCGCTGCCATCCGATGTTCCCAATGCATATATACACGCCAATGTTAAGTCGGGTGGTTTGGGAATTGCTTCGCTCAGATGGACGGCCCCAATGCGGAGGCTTAACAGGCTCAGGAGGCTGCCTGTGGCAGACCTTCAGACAGGACAAATTCCTGGGAGCTTCTGGCGAGCGGAAATTGAGAAATGTAATACCAGGCTCAAGGATGGCTTGCAGCAGTTGCAAACCCTGTCGGACATCGACAAAAGGGATATTGCTCCTCTCCCCAATATCCCACTACTTGAGTTGAGGGGCCCCGCCATTTCGTGGTGAATTTGGCGAGTGAGATTCGCCCTCCCGGATGAGTTGTGGGGCCCCGCCATTTCATGGGTCGGCCTCTTCTCGTTCCCTTCCCCAATACTCCTTCTCACGTTCCTTCACCATCTCCATTCTCTACATTCCCCCCTCATCCTCGCATTCCCCATCATCCTGTGGTAGCCTCTCCTTTCCCATTCCGCCCTCCGCCCTCCCTTTTGGGGGGGGGTGGATGGCGGGGGCTACCTCTGGAGACTTCCGGGCCCGACATCCCTGCTGTGGCGGGGGTGGCGGAACTGGAGTCTACCAATCTAATTTTAATTCTATTTCAGGTAAACTTCGTTGGGCAGTTTGCTCCAATCGGGTAGGCGTTTCCCTCGAATGGCGCTCGTCTAAAGGCTAAGGTGTTAGGTACCGTGCTGAGGATCTGAATGGTTGCGAGGGCGTTAATTTCGCAACCGCTAACGGTCCGCTCCGAGGTACCTTGTAACGTTAGGAGAGCCAACGTAAAAAATTTTTTCCTTCCCCTTTTATCCCACCTGCGCAGAAGCGCCACTATTCAAGCCAAAGCTGGCAACAACCGGCTCTCCTGCCGTTGACATATCACGCGTTGCGCCTTACCGCCA